CATATTTGTTAACACATTCAATTAAACTATGTTAGATAATTATGTTTTTTACCATACAGCTTTCAACACTAATATAATTTCAATAACCTTTCCTTTTAACCATTTAAAAAGAAAATAAGAATGATGACTGGGCCATTGGGATCATATCACTAATTCAAAATAAATAAAACCAACACCAGCATGATCACTAAATTGCAGCCTTGTACATCTGTATGTCTTTTGAACAAAGGTGTGTGTACAGATACATATTTTTTTCTGGAAAATATTACATTTTGTTCATGATTTTTCTAATAATTTTCAGCATTTTATATAACAGCTGAATCTAAATTTCTAATAACTGTGTTTGAAATAGACTAAATTGTAAATCTACAATCTACAGAAATTCAATTCAAATAAGTTTCTTCAGTTAAAAATAATTTTTTTAGGTATAAATTAGAATGGCATAAGTATTTTTATTTCCTACTTCACACTTCAAGTTTCGTCTTGTTCCTCTCTTGATTAAAATGGTCAAAAATGCAAAACATCTGTAACCACCTTTCAAGTCTATTATCCTCTTGAGAAAATTAGTCCTTTGTTATTATGAATTTCTAAGATTTGCCATAGGTCTAATGTATATAATTGAAATCAGTGCTAGTTATAGTTATTTTATAGATCATTCCTCGTGTTTCTAAAATATTTTGAAACTTTAAACTAATCCAGATTAAAATGTTAATGACAATAATGGCAAGACTATGATCACCAAAAATCAGGAAGAACCATTAGTGAGAATAAAATCAAATAAAACAATGAATCAAGATGATACAGTGACACAGGCAGCCAAGGACAATGACTGTTACAATGGCTTAAACTGTTTATTTTTTGTTATAACTGCTCAAAAATAATAAAAAGAGTACAATTACAATCATGGATGTGCTTTGTTACTCAATGTAAAGTACTGTAGAGTTCCTCATTAAGAAGCTATTAGCAATAAACGGCTGTCAAAGACTGACATTATAATACAGACAAGTTCCATTTGGTCTTTCAAGGCTGTCCTTTCTTGCCTACCCTTGAGTAAATTCAAACTTTAAAACCACCTTTTATGATTACCGTATTGCACTCTTGTAAGTGCTGGCCTCCGTTATAGATTACAGGAACTCATTCCATATGTCAAAGTAAACACCTGTTACAGATATAAAACAGTCTTAAATACATCACAAATAAATCAGAGGCCTTTATCCTATCAGTTTCCTAAATAATCTTGTAAACTTCAATAAAATCACCTTTACCTTTCTTTTCTCAAGAGAAAATAAGATATGCTATCCTATCCCTAGAAAATAACCCTGGAATCATCCAAGCAGCCCTCCTCTAAACTCTTTTCAATAAGTCAATATCCTTTCTTAGATAAGGAGACCAAAACTATACAAAGTATTCAAAGTGAGGCCTAACTAGTGGTTTGTATATTTATAATTACCTATTTTGACTCGTAATATATTTATAAGTACACCTTAAAATTGACTAATTATGCACCTATTAATATCAATAATGCAAATAAGAAAAATCAAAGGCTCAAGCACTGACCCTTGAAGTTTCCCACTATAGTAACAATGGTCTAGTTTGACTAGACTATTATCAGCCTTCTTCATTTTCTCATCCAACCATCCTACAATCTAATTAAATATGATTTTACTCCTAATGAATTGATTTTTTTTACTTCATCTTCTGTGAAGCATACCAAAAAGTTAACAGATAAAGTAAAGCAAGATTTCCATTTAGTGAATCTAAGTTGAAAATGTAATTTATGGCATTAAAACAATTTTCTTTTTTGTTCAAATACAAGACTTGAACCCATATGTAAATAATAATAATGAACTGCAAAATTAAATCCTGTGTGTACATAAATATTAAACTCAATATTTCCTGAGTAACTGATACAATATTTCACTAAATTATTTTGTAATGCTTTTATCATAATTTCTAGAATTTTTCCCAATGCAAATGCGAAACTAACTAGCCTTTAATTTCCTGGGGGATTCTTATTACCTCTTTCAAAAATAAGAGCATCAAAAGCAACTTTTCAAACCTCATACATATTCCCACTGTCTACTGCCCTACTAAAAATTAATGGGAAAGGTTTGTTTGTTTGAAGTTATGCACAAAGCTACACAATGAGCTATCTGTGCTCTGCCCACCACGGGTATCGAAACCCGATTTCTAGCGTTTTAAGTCTGCAGACATACCACTGTGCTACTGGGGGGGTGGGGTGGGGCAATTGTTTGTTTGAAGTTAAGCACAAAGCTACACAATGGGCTATCTGTGCTCTGCCCACCATGGGTATCGAAACCTGGATTCTAGCATTGTAAGTCCGCAGACATACCGCCGTGCCACTAGAGGGGCTAATGGGAAAGGCTCATTACTATTTATCTAGTAATACTTTTAGGTGTTGACCTTTTTAGGTATTCAACATAAAATCCAAATTTTGAAGAAAAAAAAAAAGTGTAATATTTTCCATAATATTTTTTCCAAAAATTAGTATCTTTAAAACCCAAGTTAACAATACTGAATTGTAACAAAAAACTTATATCTAATACTCAAATCACCATTCCAAAATTTACAGGTACAGAAATAAAAAGACTGCCAACAGAGAACATAACTAAGCTTCCAACAATTTTTAGTTATATTATTACACTGTAAACTCCAGAATAAACAAGTACTTCAAGCATTTATTCATAGCTCATATTTTACTTCCAGATATCATTTTTGTAAACTTCTTCTAAAACCATTCCAAAATCCAACTACTCTTAAGAAAAGAAATTGTAACTGTCTCCCTTTACAACTCAAATTTTTATATACAATTTTAAGATTTAATCAGCTCTTGTCAATAAAAAAACATTTAGTCAAAAGCTTCAAGTTCTTGACAACCACATCCAAATATTCCATTCCACAACACCAATATTTTTCACAAAAACAGTTATACATGACTCTAGACTTCTGAATATTTAAACACATCTTCCAATGTTACCTCATTAATAACACATTAAGATTCTGAGATATTTCTGAATCAAAACATTTTGTTAAATATCAGGCTCCCCCTACAATGTACAGGGCCTAATCTAGACTGTAATGAGTAAAATCCTAGAGACTGATAAAAGAACCTTTCCAAAACCATTTAATGAAATATGGTATCATAAATGAAAACCAACATGAATCCACCAAAGAGAAACCTTGCCTTATCTGTTATATGGACAAAGAAAATAGTGTACATTGTGCACTTAGATTTTCAAAAGGATTTGATAAGGCGCCATACAAAATATTAGCTAAGATATTTACACCTATGGGTTGTGGAATGACTTGTATATCAGACTATAAGGTAATTAGATGGGAGAAAACCAAAGGTTGTTATTAATGGAGTCCAGTCAAACTAAACCATTATTACTGGTGGAGTGCTTCATGGGTCAATACTTGGACCCTTACTTTTTGTTATTTACATTAATGATAATTAGTGTATTAGTAAAGTTTGGTGACAACATTAAATTTTTGGATATTTATATCTGTACTGAAGATTCTGAGGTATTAAATGACTTAGATCAAATATTTGACTAATGACCTTTAAATGTGGTAAATGCAAAGTAATACATTTAGGTTATCATAATTTGAATCACACATTTAATAAAGATGGGAACCAGCTCAACAGCATGACTAAAGAAAATCATTCTGGAATAGTGGTAGACAAGTCACTCAAGCCATTGAAGCAGTGCTCAGTGCCTAGTAATAGAGCTAAGTAATAGAATACTATTACTAGGTTGTATTTACAGACACACTGATTATGAATTAAAACAAGTAATTACCTCTCTATGAAAAAAAAAACACTAGTTAGGCCTAATTTGAAATACTGTGTACAAATTTGGTCTCCTCATCTAAAAAGAGATATTGACTTATTTGAAAGGATTTTGAGGAAAGTTACTAGGATGAAAGGGATTTCTTAAAGGAATATATTAAGATCTCTTAACTTTTTTCTCTTAAGAAGGGTAAAAAAAAAAGAGTAATCTTACTGAAGTTTAAAATATTACCCAGGATACTGATACTGCAATAGAATAAGTCTCTGATTTCTTTGTGTTATATACCAAAGATACCAAAACAAAAAGACTAAAGTTCAATATATGTAAGAGACAGATTAGACTCCAATTACAACAGTTTTATTTTATAACATGGTGAAATACTTATGGAATGAGTTGTTGTTGGAAATAGTGGAAACAAGCACTTCATAGGAGTTTAACTTTTAGATGGCAATGATTTCTTGAAAAGGTTGTACAAGTTAAATTTGTTACTGTAATCAGTGGTAGGCAAGAAAAGACAGTCATGAGCAACAAATGGTCCCTTGGTTATGGTATTCAACAACAAAGAAAAACACATAGTAGTAATATGATTACATAAACTATTTGTCACAATTACATGATGTAGGTGCTGTATATATACAAAAAACAACTAGTTATGAAAATGGATATTAAAGAATATTCTTAAATTATCTTTCTTTTAATGATTTAACTTTAGAAGAAACACAACAACACTGACATTAATGTAACTTGAAAATTATGAACTGATTAACTTATATAACATATTAATTCTAATATTGCACTTAACTAGTTCAATTCCGAAATTAATCAGACTCAAAGCCTTTAATTAATTTCTAATTCTCAAATTTTATAGAATTAAAAAGCATAAAAAATAACTACAACCACGTATTTTTTTTTGCGCCAAATCTTTTTTTTTCTTAAATAGAGGCAACCAAATAAAATAAGATACACTATTATTGAGCTTTAAATTTAATAAATTGAGTATTCAATCGTTACTATTTAGGCCAGTACGTTATACTTAGAGTATAGAGTATAATGTGAAATTTTGTACACTAAATTAAAACTGTGTAATACCAATATTATTAATAATACTAATAATAACGAATAGTGACGCGTTCACATAGAAATTTATAAATGATGAATATCAATCTATCATATCAATTTACCTACTTTCAAACACGGTGTTCCATTATTAACTATGATTATTTGAAGTAAAAAATTGGTATTTTTCATATAAAAACAATATTTGCAATTAACCTTAAGTAAACATAATGGTAATACAAATATAGAATTGGTGAATTTTCCCACTGCAATAATTTCTTAGCAAATGTGAAAACATTCTGATAGAGGGCAGCCTTTCTAACATCCCAATGATATTCATAACGGTATAGGCACAAAATATGTGTTTCAATAACTATCTCACGAAACTAAACGTCCATGCTAAAAGTTACATGATAACTAATTACTTTGTCACTGTTGTGTTAACATGTACGATTACACAATGCAGTTACAAAGCCAAACAGGCACCAGATACTATTTATCACTATCTTATACTAATGAATGACTGGAAATTAAACCAACTCTATACCCGATCATAAGGCATACGTTCAAGAATATTTCCTCTATACCTTAGATTATAAAGTGATTTTATGTATTAAAGCAGCTCATTATTTACGAATTGAGACCCATGATAAAATAATAGCAAAATAAAATAAAAAATGGCAAGCTAATCTCCAAATAAATAATTAGATAATTTTATTTATTCCTTCTTCTTTTGCCCACCTTCTCTCCCAAAGTGGCACAGGGGTATGACTGTGGACATGTACTGCATGTCCGGCACCATTCTTCCACATTTCGCCTCTTACCTATCCAATAAAATCTTTGTA